AAATACTGCCGGAGACACCTGAAGGGGATCGCAGAGTGAGTACAGAGCTCGAGTCATGCAAACGGGTCTCCGATAAGCAGCAGACATCGATCAAGAGGGTCTTATATATTCAGGCAAGTACTGCCTGTTGACCGATTTGCAGCAATGTGCGAACATTGATGCATGTCAATCTGAAGGAGGATCCAGAGCTCCAAATTGAACTCGATTCACTGTGCTTTACCGCTTGCTTGGACATAGACTTGTCGACAGGACGGGATTGACACTCCGCGTTTACAGGTGACTTGAAACTAGAAGACAAGCGACCAATGAAGCAAGGGGAGGTCCAAAGATTTGGGGGTTGAAAACAGGGGGATAAAAGTGAATCTGCAACGAGACGATTAGGGTAAATAGGTGCAAGAGGGGATAAGGAGACGAGAAGGCTTGAGTAGGAACATCCAAATACCTATCCACCCTGCTCGATGCAACAGATAGGGCACCGTTGATTATTCTAGTTGGTGGCCAGAGCAGCAGGAATTTGTTTGATGAAAGGTTCATAGTATTGCGTGGATAGGATACTGTCAGTTTGTCCAGGCCTAGAGAGAAGAACGATTAGGGTTGTCGACCGAAGCCTTTGGTTCAAAACACCTGACGGCAGGGCAGTGGGTTTGACGTTGTGCTACAGCGAGTCCGTTTTAAGGAGTAAGGAGCCATTCTGATTCCAACCCTCAAACGGGAGAATCAGGAGGCTGAGTTTCTCTGCTTTCTAAGCATTGATCAATCTGGTATGAGTGGCTCTGAAGGTGCAACAGCCCCACCCAGCATTGCTCAGTGGATCACTGAGGCACACAAACCATCGCACCACGGTAAGGTCCAGCCTCATTGCGATGGACTCGGGCAACTAAATGTGAGGTATCAAAATTAAGCTACTTAATGGATTACAGCATTGCGCAACGAGACCCAAATGTGCAGAGGTAGACCGCATTGTTGCTAGTCAAGTAGACACGTTCCATTGTGTCGCAATTACCCAAATATTTAAGATGAAGATTAAGGACTATACATGGCCAAATGAAATTTAAAGCTTGCTACTATTAGTAGACGGCTTCCCTTAATAGTGCTCTAGAGCGCCATGCCAACTTTACACAACTGCGTAAATTGTGTTTAGCGAGGTCCATTCCTTACTTCCACAAAGTCCACTCATTCAACGCGTGGATATCTAGCACGTACCATCCTTCCTGCTTGAGGCAAGCTTACCCGTACGTTCACGCGGAAGTTGCGAGTAATGTAGATCAAATGCTCGCGTGATTTTCAAGATAAGTTACTAATTACGACTATACCATAAAAATTATAGTTATCTGTGTAAGCGTATTTCATAATAATGAATTTGAACTCAGCCTTCTCTCAACGCACTGAATTTAATGATTGCATAACGTTTCGGAAACATGCAATCCAACAGCATGGGAGTTTGCTACTGCTGAACATGGAGGCCGCAGCATAAGAATGACACGGTTTCCAGAGGCCTATCATCGGGACACGATTTGCTACCTGATCTGCGGTACCAGGGCTTAGTCACGCCCGAAGTTGATGCAATCTGTTCGTCCTCATCACACGGATTGCTACCCGAGTGGCGGTAACACGACTAAGTCACGTGGGAAGCTGATGAAAACAGATCGTCAGCATGAACCAGGTTGCTACATGAAGGGGCGGTAGCAGGTTTGAAACCTGTCCAGGACAAGTAGCTTGAGTCAGCTCAGGAACTTACAACAGGAGATGATAGATTGTGACCTATAAAATGAACCTTATTCTGTGCCTAAAATATTTCGGTCTAGCAGGTTTTTGGGTAACGTTTTGTTCCCGGCTGGTTGGCGTGATATAGACCAGCCGCGAATGGCAGTACGGAGAGCAGAGGAAAAGCAGCGTTCGGAAATGCTGCTTTACCCAAGTGGTTATGCATTCCGTTGGATTCGTTCCGGGCTGCCTCTTTCTGATTGACTCGGGCCCTCGGCAAGTTGCCAGTACGGGTACCATTTGCATACTTTAGCCGCCCATACAACTGTGAAATAAAAACTTTCCGCTTAGTCTCATTTCTTTTGGATGAGTGCATTATGTTTTACCTGAAACATGAAAATTCATTTTTGAACATGAATATAACCAAGGCCTAGACTGTTATTAGAAAGCTGCACTAGAGAAATATTGTAACACACATGTTGGAAATGATGCGGTACATCCAAAATGAAATACCATGAACTATCTCAAGATAAGGTGTAGTGGAAGGCAGTATATAGCAGTATTTATCGTGGATTTACGCTAACTATTATCACTACTGCACGAAAGTAATCGAAGTGGTCTTAAGAGCTCTGAAAATATGTAGACAGCAAAAGTTAGAATTTCCCAAACAGTTTCAATGACAAAATTAAAGTAAATTGACGGTCGGTAGCTATTACGTAACCGCTGGTGCATTACTGTTTGTATACCATGGAGTTACCAGCATGAATTCGAGGTCGGTATATAAAGGGGGTAATAAGCTTCTGTTGCTATTCATCCTAAAATGTCCTCTTCCAACTACACAAACCACTGGTAGTTGAATGTTAACGCAACACAGTAATGGATCAATCATCCGTTCTAAATCACCGCGAACTCATGTATAGTTAGAATGGGTAAGTGGGTTTTAATGGTTCACAAGTTGTGTACTAAATGTGGGATTTTGTAAACCTCCGTATTGTAAAACCGCGTTGTACCCGAAGGTTCATAGTTATATGCAGAAGTCATCTTAGTAATTATCGTCATGTTGATAATCGACAAATGAGCATTGCATTCTCGTCCAGCGGTGCAGCCGTGGTCCGTGATGTTCGCTGAAATTAAGGGTGAGGTGACCCTAATCAGAAAGCACAACTTTTATATGTTTCTTGGGGCTGGAAGGATTTCTGACATTCAGCATTTATGACTCGCTTCGCAATCAGATGTAACTGGCAAATCCAACATAATTCACTACTGAATAGTTCAACCCCGTTTCCCGCAGTTGTGTTCCAAAGACGTATTACTAAACGGGCCTAGATTGTCAGAATTTACGCAGCCAGATAAAAGGAGGGTAGTCGTGAGAAAAGAATATAAATGGACTAACGTTTGAGGTAAAACACAAATGTCATGCAAATATAAGTTACATGCGAGTTCCAAATTATAGGTTCTCGCACGTTCAATGGGTATGTTGTGTGAAAGAGAGCAAAGGAACACAGGCTACTGTAACACAATATCGCACTTGTCTGGTTATAAAAACGGGTTGTTCCGATACCAATGTCACAGTTGCTATTAGTAAATTATGCAGTTGTTTTCCGTAACGAGTCTTTTTGCTTCGTTTTCTTTGCATAATTGACCGTGGACTATGTGTGATTTCTTTTGCAGCGCAAACTATAAGGTTCAGCCAGGTTTGGAGGGGCTAGCTTTATTTGATTGTCGGGTAATGAAATTGCATTTGTGTAGGCTAGCCCTGAGCCTAATGGTTGGTTAGTTGAAGTACCTATCTTTATTATCTATTGAAGATAACTTTAGCGTAAAAAATCATTTGAAGCATTATAACATTGTTACCTTCGTGGTATAAAGATAACAATACAGGGATATTTAAGGTAAGAATTGTTAATAACCGAAGTCTTTCGTGCCTATGTTATTTAAAGAAGCTTCTGGAATATCCATTTATCAACGCGTGGCCGTTACCTAGAACCAATTCTTCTCTCCCAGACTCGCTATTGCACATCGTAATGTCTTCATGAACATTTGTCAACGTTGCATCGAAGTGAACATAAAGGCTAGAAAAACTCCGTTAGACCAGATTTGGTTCTTATACAACAAATGTACTAATGCGGTCAGCCGCTTGTAAACAAGAAAACATCTAGTCATCCTTTATTCCTTCATTTATCTTCATTTAATGTGTACACCGCACCTACACCATTGGAAGAGATAAATTGTTGACGTAAGAAGAGAAAGCCAAAGCAGCATGGGTCCGTTAAGCGTATTTTGAAAGTCCAGAAATATTTCAGCATCCAACGTCAAAAGGTTTCGCCATGGCTCTCAACGGACTCCGCCCTGCGAACATTTATAAGCAACTATGTTTAACGCTCTGCAAAGGATATATACTCAGACCAGTAGTATCATATCAAAAAAGGCATATTTTGCTAAATTTAGTGGTAGTCGTTGGTCTCATGTAACAAGACAAGGATGAACAACAACTGTACATATAAGTAAAACGGTAGCACATCAGATAAGATGAGTAATTTTATGGATTCTGTTAGTTCACATGAGAAACTATTTCCGCATGGCTAGAGCACTGCCTGGTTTGTATCAAAATTTTATGTGATCTTGCACAAGCTTGCGTTTGCTTGCAGTATGTCAATTATTAGCTAAACCAAGTGGGCTCCGTTTCGCCCTGTTTGCTATGACCCATTCTGACAGTCTAGCAGAACTACTCAAGTTTAACCTGTTACATACTTTTGTAGAAATAATCACCTGTTCAGTACTGAAAATAATGTATTTCGATTTAAAAAGTCTGTTCCTCATAGAGGTGAACTTGCATGCTGAAAGAACAAACTTGCACGCAACGAATGCCGTACCATGTATGTTAAGAATTACATAAACCGAAATACTCATTTTAGTCATGAAACAGGACAGTGTCGTCAAAACAAAAATTGACGTATCATTGAAGATAAGTACTAAAACCGCAGCATGTTAGTTGCGTTGAAATTTTCGTACAATTTGTCGGTTTTCTGGGATTTTTCATTCTTCTATATCGACGCTCAACTCAAGCTAGTCTGATAGGAATTCTGAAACGGGTTACTTAGTATTGTGTGTGACTATTGTTTGTGTGACCACGCAGTATAACTTATGATTCCATTAAACTCTGGCCCTGATTAATGTGAAAGCCTTAGCTTGATGTTTGTAAGTAAACCACCTACTAGTTAGGATGTTTTTTCCTCATACCGACAATCCCCAATTAAAGATACATGTTTAACTTTCCATGTTCTTCCTTACGATAGGTGCTTTTGGCTTTCATGGTTGGATTGCATAATCTTTATTGGTATTATGGTCTGCAAACCTTCAAAGTGTTCGACCCAGAGACAAACACGACACGATTACAAGCAGCTACTGAGCTGTTTGAAGGGTGAGTTTATTGGGTAGTTTGATAAAATGCCAGTATTAGGAATTAGTTCTTTCTTCTTTCTTAGTAACTCTCTTTTCCACCAGTGATTTGGTTAATGAGACATTCTCCTCCTTCATTATTATGCCAATTCTTGCCTGTATCTTTGTTTCTGCAAGCATGAAATATCACCTTTTGATTTTCGGCGTACCGTCTAAGTAAAAGATAGTCTTTCGGTGTAAACATTGAGTTTCTCATAATGTATCAACGCGACACAATTTAACACTAAACGGCTATTGGCCATCAAGGTAAATGATAAGAGGAATATGATGCTAACAACCCCAAAACAAGTGCACTTTAAAGACAAAACGGTGTGATTTGGGGCAAACACTTCCATACCATCTGTGTGTACATGGTTTGATATGATTGTTTCATGTAAACCATTAGGCTATCAAGCTATCTCTTTTCATGTACCAAGAAATTATGCTAACTCATGACTAGTTGTGAGAATCAAGATTGTAGAAGGCAGAAGTCACGAGATTGCCAAAGCATTTAACAGGCAAATATATAGGCTAGATTAGAAGGCGCCTATAAAAATATAATTTCCCAGCCATTTGAGCGAATCTTCGTCAACGAACTTTATTGTGTCTTATTTTGTCCGTTTTCAAGTGTTTCTCAAGAAATCCAATGACCTAGAGACATAGCATAACTTATTTATGCTAAGGCTTGTTTTAGCAGTCTACAATAGATAAACCCATTTCCAATATTGCCATATGTGTTGGACTAGCAAAGCTCATAAACCAACTACATAAACTATAATGTAAAGCAAAAACAACTAATGCGCAGCAGTTAGCCAACGGAGTTGCATTTAGAGGAAAAAGAATTGTTTCTTAGTGGGTGTATTATAGTACTTCGGTTTACTTTGCTCATCATCAGGCGTCACTTATATCATACGCTTTATGCTGTGTTATGCAATTCACCGATTTCAATGGATTTTTTATTGCTCGATGGCAACTCCGCACGATGTTTAAAAGCAATGAACCAATGATTACATACCGACATTAGCGTCTGTCTTGCCTTTGTTTACATCAGATCGTTTACCTAATATGGTCAGCAATTACAGGTAAAAAACTATCAGAGCCATACAGCCACTAGGTTTGATACTAAGCACTCGACAGATGCCAAATGGAAGAAGGCCGACAGGTGTACCATATTCTGGATCGAAATAGCAATGTAATTTAAACCAGTAGAGAAACAATACTCCGAAAATAGTTGCGACACATTTTTGCGCACTGACTGTATTGAGAACACGCACGGCAGTGTTACTTGCAGCCAGCAGAAACGGCTGCTAAGGTTCGGTGAGTACGATTCAACGGAATAATTCCAATCAAGACAAATACACAAGCTCTGCGGAAAAGGCTGACATTCGAGAAATCAAAGCTTGTCAGTACAAGACCAAAGGATTCATACGATGCCACACGAACAAGCGAAATGCACAGAGAAAGGAGGAAAGCTAATAAGCATACGATTCAATGTCAATACAAACTAATCACAACTGTGAGACAAAAAAACACGCATGTGTGGAAGCATAAAATGCGGCGGAGTAAATGGGGCAAAGTTACAAAACAACGTGAAGTGGTAGTGTTTTATTACCGGTGAAATAACAGTAAAGGTGTATTTGTTTATAAAAGGTAAATCTAAGCAGCCGTATTGATTTTTAAACACGCATGAAATAGTCGGCTGTAAGATAAGCTTTCTAGGCAGTACATCGGTTGTAAAGAAAAGCAGATTAGCATTCGTAACAACAACTTTGAGCCATTCCAAAGCACGTTGACTTGCCTTCTGTTTATCTGTACAACCATAATCTCCTGGTCTGCAAAAGTAAAAAAAGGAAATTGTTGTGCTTTTCTTGAGGAAAATAACGAAAGACCAGTTTTGCTATTTGAACGACATTATAATGTCGTCACATTTTCTATAAAAGACAAACTAACAATATGAAACGTCAGTGTTACACAAATGACGAAAATTAGAGTGAAACACAACGTGATAGTGTTACTCAGCATTATGTGTACTTTGCCAAACTATACCACCAAGATTAAAAAAGAAATAAATCATCTAGGTGAGATATCACAAATCTTCTGCAGTCAAATCAAATGTCGATCAGGATGAAACCGGACTTGGTTGAGGAAAGCTGTTATCCTAACGCCTGGTGTAAGACGGGAAGAAAAGTATACGTCAAAGCACCTATCTTCATTGCGATACTGAAGAATACACAAGTTGTTGTCTTTAGAACCAACCAAAAATGAGAAATTAAAAATGTCTTTCATCATGTAGCCAAACACTGACTGGGCTACGACCTTAGCAGATTGGACATGTCCTTTCCAATGATTCTATGCAACCGTTTAAATTAAAAAGGCAGATTAACTCTTATTAGGCTACAATTAACCGATGGCCAACGTTGCTCCTTGAAGTCTCCTGATGAATTCGGGTTGAGCACTTGACTACTGATATCCTCACTGTGGCTTAAATCAGACGTTTACAAAATATGGCAGTCATTGTTGCACAAGGGAGTTTCTTGGGCTTTATTGGCGCCATATCCATGGTTGGCGGCATCCGGTTTCTGATTTGTCTGTCACTGTGGCCAGCCACAGGACGCCTACGCCTACAGAGGGACCATGGTTGGCTTGCTCTGCACCACCCACAGCTCCAACTACATACCCCATATCCAGTGTAAACCCAAAGGAATAAGACTGGGAGGCATGTGGATGGGAGCCACTTTTCTTCAACGGAGCCGGCCCACACTCCTTCACAGTCAAGAACAAACACGCTGTATTTGGGAATCAAGCGCACACAAGGCAGTGGCTGAACCGTAGTCCGCTTCAAACTGAGTGTGTGGAACCACTCTTCGAGCCTAGCACGACCACGAGGACCGTGCACCCCGTCCCCTCCAACCACGACCAACTATCTCCTAGAGACAGTATTCACGAGCTAATGGGCAATAGACAGGTAGACATCTTGTCAACATGCACAACAAGCGCAGCCGCACCGGGGATGTCAAACAACAGCCAATCACTTGAAATGACAGTAGCAAATAAAATATATCTGCTAAAGAATAAGGTTATGCAGACATAACTCTTCCCTAAAATAGCGTATGAAGTATGTTAGCAACGAATTCGCGATAATTAAAAAATGTCCAGAGTTGACTCAGAAAATGCTACAAACGCAATAAAGCTAACGAAGATAAGCACAATTACCGTAAGCTAGCTGGAAATTTAATAGAAGATTATTCCGGTAGGCAGAACAAATCAAATGAAGTGGAATGAAATGTATCCAGCTTAAAAAGAGACTTAGTTTAAATGTATGTTGGTTTAGCCAAACTGCGGTGAAGAAGCGTCATAAATGCAACATCAGCCTCAGCATGGTGCGATATCCATACCGTCCATTTGAATATCGACAGCCGCCTCAAAATACATATAGCCCCACCTTCTTGGCAAATTGGCGGTTTCTTACAGGAAAACCATTTAGAAACAGCACAGGCAATCTCTAATGTACACGTTGCGCCATATATTTACACTGCAACACCGTTACCACAAATGAGGCGGTCAAAAATCACCTGTATCGGTTTTTGTCAGCAAAGCAAAACAGTTTTACTAGCATTTAATCATGCTACTGCCGGAAAGATGGCAAATAGCATTGGATCAGAATGGAGAATATATAGATTAATAAAATACTCATTCAAACGGAGAAAATCGATTTTCATTTGCATCGAAGAAACGAACTTACTTTCCGAACAACGAGGTATATATATATATATATATATATATATATATATATATATATATATGTACATATATATATATTTGGTTGGCGGCATCCGGTTTCGGATTTGCCTGTCACTGTGGCAAGCCACAGGACGCCTGTGCCTACAGAGGGACCATGGATGGCTTGCGCTGCACCACGCACAGCTCCAACCACACACCCCATATCCAGTGTAAACCCGAAGGAATAAGACCGGGAGGCATGCGGATGGGAACCACGTTTCTTCAACGGAGCCGGCCCACACTCCTTCACAGGCAAACACAAGCACACTGTATTTGGGAATCAAGCGCACACAAGGCGGTGGCTGGACCGTAGTCCGCTCCACACTGACTGCATGGAACCACTCTTTGATCCTAACACGGCCACAAGGACCGTGCACCCCGTCCCCTCCAGCAACGACCAACTGTCTCCTGGAGCCAGTATGGACGAGGTAGTGGGTAATAGACAGGTAGGCACCTTGTCAACATGCACATCAAGCGCATCCACACCGGGGATATCAAACAACAGCCAAACACTTGAGTGAGAGAGAAAGAAAAAGAGAACAACTCGATTAATGCATAAGGAAACGGTGATATAAACCTTAAGTAAATAGCATATGTAATAAGTTGTTTACAAACAAATCCTAGCTAAGTGCACGAGGTCAGGAAATATAGTTCACGGAATGCCGCGAACACAAATATGCTACGGAAATCGAATACAATTGGCTTAGGCGAGGTGTGCAACTTAATGCGATAGAGTACTGGTAGACATTTATATGAATTCGATTTACTAACCGCGTGCTTGCATGCTAAGTCTCTTTATTTCACGTGGTGGGTTTACAGTTTGTGCCTTAATGCTTTTCTTTCTCATATATATATATATATGTATATTATATATATATAGGCATATACAGTAACAAACCTGGCCATCCTTCTAAGTTGACCGTTTAATTTTTGTCGTCTGAACATTTAGTACGTGAACCCTATGGATCCAGACCTCTGTACGCTAACCAGCTCTGTACTTTGACCATTTGGCCAGCCACATGAGCTGTCATATTACTGATGTTTTAGTGTGACTTAAAATATCATCTTAATTGAACAATGAACAGCTTTCTTGCGGGCTGACGATTCCGCTATCTACCTTCCTACAAACAACTAACGAATGTCGTTTTACAAATTTAGTGTTCTTCAAAACTTTAATATGCTAAAAAGATCTACCTCCTTCAT